AAACCACAGGACAACCTCACCACCCCCACCCAGCTCAGCCAGGACTGATGCAGAGGATTAAGTTGGATAGAAGTTTGAGAGTTTTCACGGTTCACACCCGGCTGGGCTGGAGGTTTTTGCTGATTAAACGGAACGGGATTTTTGGAGCTGAAACAGAGAGACTCGGTATTAGCTGAGAATGACTGGAAGAGTTGGAAGACTTGCCTGACATTTCATCCAGAGAAGATTCAAGGTACAGTGAGCGAAAGACGTTAGTGTCTGTATAAACCAGTTAAACAAGCTCCAGCCTGTCAGGACTGAGCAGAGACTCTGGACACCTGCAGAGGGGTGGCCAGGAAGCCTGGAGCTAGGGGGAGGGTGCTGTGGCCCGGGAGTACAGCCTGGGTCTGAGGACAAGTAGGCTCGGGTGGTTGGAGAGGTTTCCTTTGACCAGGAGGCAAACCATCTCTGACACCGTTGACTTGGCCGTAGAGAGCGCCATGTGGCGCTGGGCATGTGGCGGCTGCTCCACAATGAGCCTGCCCTGGGGAGATCTGCCAAGGAAGATTAGGGGGTTGGTTGAGTTTTCTCCTGGGAGGTCTAAATGTTGAGTGCGACACAATGGTCATTGAGATTAGCCTCAGGTTTCCTCTGCAAGAACAAGGGAACATGACCCTAGGTGGTACCAGTGGTTGAGCACCAGACTGCCATTTGGAAAGGTGATTCAAACATACCCAGAGGCACCTTGGAAGAAAGGCCTAGAGGTCTGGCTCCAAAAGATCATGGCCATGAAAGCCCTATGGGGCTAATCTGCACTGACCTGCATGGTGTGATAGTTAGGTTTTATGTCAACTTGGCTTGGCAAGATCCCCAGTAGCTTGGCAGTAAGACCTCCCCTATAAGGTTCAAGTTACAGTCTGCTTGTGGATGTGGCCTATTTCACAAATATAAATAAGACACTGCGAACTGGCAAGCCCTCTTTTGTCTGCTTACCTGGTTCCTGTATCTGATTTTGTGGGACTTGGGCCAGTGGCTCACCCTGTGGCCTGCTGACCTGGGAGCTTATTTAAGCCACCTTCTTTGTTTCCCTCCTGCTCTCTGCTTGGTTGTGTGTGTTGGGAAGGGCATCAGCTTAGCATCTGTCCCATAGACTTGAGTCAGACTGCGCATCTATCTGAGAAGCAACAAAGCCCACATGGAAGAAGCACACCAGCCTGTGCGATCACGAGGTGCCGAAAGGATCAGGTATCAAACATCAAAGAACAAAAAATCATATCATTGTGTGCTCACCTTCCCGATAAGATCACTGAAGACAAATGGGTGCATAAGCAAATGTGGAGAAGAAAGCTGATGGTGCCCGGCTATCCAAAGATATAGCGTCTGGGGGTCTTAAAGGCTTGGAGGTAAACCAGTGGCCATCTAGCTGAGAAGCAACAAAGCCCACATAGAAGAAGCACAC